CGTGGCAAACACAACAAAGAACACTTGTTTCGTGTTGGTTTCTGTGTGTATTGTGATTGAAAATTTCTGAATCATCAATGATTACATCTGATTGGTACCTTTCTCTCAACGAATATTTGAATTAGTATTATGACTCATTCTCAAAGCAATATCTATCATTCACCACATACGTCGAGTGTTAAAAAGTGACGCGTCGAAAATGACCGTCTTTGATGGGTGTGGGGTGTGGGTGGGTATGCGGCGTGGGTGGGACATGTAACGAGCTCGAGCTTCCGGAGATTCGGTGTTCCCAAGTTCGGTCATTTCCGAGTTTTCTCATTCCGGAGTTCGGTCATTCGAGGTACCCCTTGGTGATCAAGTATTACTAGTAAGGAGTGCCCTTGGGTCATCAAGTACTGCTATTGGGGGTATCCTTGGGTTGTCAAGTATTCCTATTGCTGGGTACCCTTATCCCTTGAAGTATTAGGATTACGAGGTACCCTTGCACCCTCAAGTACTACTATACGGCAGTACCCTTGGGTCCTAAAATGCTACTATAAGAGGTATCCTTGGTCCTCAAGTATTACTCCTGGAAGATATCCATTGGGGCTCAAATTTTAATCTTACGTGTACTGATGCCTCCGGAAGTTCCCCTGTACAGAAATTCCTTGGATCCTGAGATACTCTTGCGCATCATCGTTTTCCCCGGAATTGGGACTATTCCATTCATTTAGATGATGAGCTGCTACTAAAGGCGAACAGGAAGTCCTACTCATGTCGACCATTTCGGTGACCAGAAGCCGCAGTATTTTGCCTGTGCTTTCAAGGATGCCCTTTCCACTCTTACTATTAGGACAACACATAGGCATGCTCAGACCGATGCCAGGGTTATCGAGGATGCTCTATCGATTGATGGATGTATGTGTGGGATCCCACCCATCCCAACACTGCGAAATACCAACTCGCCATTTACTTGGTCCCAAAAATGGACCAATCAGATTTCAGCAGGGCTTTTCTCACTTATTGTAAGGACATACGATGGGCTGGTTCGGATCAATCATAGGCTAGAGAATCCAAGGGAATACCCAATAGTAAAACTTGAGGACCCAAGGGTAACTGCCAATAGAAAGACTTGTGGACCCAAGGGTACCCCCGGTAGTAGGACTTGAGGATCCAAGGGTGCCCCTGAATAGTAGCACTGGAGGACCGAAGGGCACTCCCAATGACAAAAACTCGGGAATGACAGAATCTCAGAAATGACCGAACGCGGGAAAGATCGAACCCGGGAATCCTAACCCTGGAATCCCGGTATGTTCCCGGGTTCGATGCATGTCTAGTATGGGTGTTCACTTCTCTCAGTTCACAACCATACCCCCGACATCCCACACCCCCACACCCGCACCCCACCACCCGCACCCCTACACCCGCACCTTTGCACTCGCACCCCACACCCACATGCCCACACCTACACCACACACCCACCCACACCCACACCCTTTTCAGCATGTCCTTCAAGATCAGCCATTTTTACTGAGTTTCGGTTACTGAACTTGTAACTTATTTTTCTCCATCTGAATCAGATTCTTGATCAGTGTGATCATGATCGATATTTAATGACAGCAGATAAGAATTTGAACTTAGATCATTATCGATAAGAGATGTTCTATGCTTATTCAATTATCAAGACAATCATATAGTGAAGTGCTAGTGAAAAGAGAAGTATGTAAATGAAAAAAAAACTGAACTTGGTCATAACAGGCATTGTTTTTCACATGCCGTATACGTATTCCCATTAATTACATTTTATATTATTCAAGTACAGACCACCTTGATCGACAGAAAGAGCAGAAAAATATTTTTGATACGAAGATTAGAAATACACATATCGAAACAAAAAGTATAAACATGATGGTAAAACTAAAAACTCAACTATTACAGGGACTCTTCTATTATAGGCGGGGGAGGTCTTCTTATGTGTTGGCGGTTTTAATATTTATGAAATAGCCCAGGAGAAGCAATCCCATGGGTATGGGTGTGGGTGGGTGTGGGTGTGGGTGTCGGTGTGGTGAAACGATCCACACCCACATCCACACCCACACCCACACCCACACCCACACCGACACCCACACCCACACCCTCACCCACACCCACACCCACACCCCCACATCCACACCCACACGCCCACACCCACACACCCACACCCACACCCCCACCCACCCCCCCCACACTCACATCCCAACCTTGCATGATTTTAGATTTTGTGAAAACATTGATACAAGATAAGTAATGTGTCTCCAAAACATTTAATGTTTGCTGGTAAGCTACTTTATCTTAAAAGATTATCAGCTTTTTCTGGAGTTGGTGAAACACCACAATATGATGTATATGAATCTATACAAGCGTCATTAGTGTGGATTAAGATGTGGATATTAGTGTGGCTCAAGAGAAATAGGGTGACATTGCATGTGCAACTACACCCCGTACCCTCAATATTAACCTCGGTCTAGAACTGCTCTCATCAATTTTCATTAGAAGTTATATTGATTCAGAAATATTTCGTATATATAATAGTATTTAGTAGTATCAATTGTAATTAAAATAAGGTGTTCCGTGGGAGAAAATAGATATAAGTTACCATCCACCCACACCCTAAAGTCTCATTTTTTTTCTTGAATAAGTAAATCGCTAAGTATATTATGTTTTAACAACTGAAAGTCTTAAATGTTTTTTAATAGTTGATTTTCATTGCTCATTTGAGATACTATCTTCTTCATCATCAGCAGGAATCGATAGTATAATGTCTTTTAAATGTGGAAGGTCATCAGTTATACGATAATTGTAGCTTTCATAAAGCAATTTTGAAAGAACAGCTTGTCCTTGTAAAAGAGAGTTTTGTAGTTCCGCTGGTGACAAGCGTTTATAATTATTCATATGTTTAAATTCAAAATCAAGAACAGTTTTTATTGCTTCAGCTCCTGAATATGGTAAACTTTCAAAATCTTGTCGACCACTTATATAATGATACATTCCACCACGTAGACGTAATATCATGTGAATTGTATAATCCTTTTGTATTTTGTACTCTGACAGAGTTCGGTGGTCTTCCAACTGCTCCCCATGGAATATTAAACGTTGCTGATCAGGGGGAGTACCCTCTTTGTCTTGGATGAATTGTTTCAGAGAAGCTATATTCATGTTAGAACTGACTTCAAATGTAAACGTCCTTCCAGTAAGAGTTTTTATAAAAAGTTGAAAACCAACAATTGATTCTGTAGCATCTTGCTAAACAAAAAAACAAACTCTCATATGTGATGAAAAGGAAAAATGCGTTATAAGTTACTGTTTCTTGAAGAATTTTTACCATAATGACACAATTATTTTCATATAACTTAGATGACAAGACAGTATCATCTGCTTTGAGTATTTTACCTTCATTCCAAGATTGTTTCTCTGCTTGAAAGTCTTCATTTACCATAAATAATTTAAGTTCTATGTTTGGCAGTCTTCGAAGATTCTGAATCTCCATTTGAATCTTTTCTATAGTATCTGTTAGGAGGACTGGTAGGATCAATTGGTAAGGTGATGCATATTCATGATATACTATCAAGATTTTCAATTCACCATATGTAACAAATCGATAATCTTCTGGATATTCGGATACAGATGATTTCAGTTTCGGATTAATTACTGGCGAAATACGATTTTGATTTATTGTTCCAATTTTAATCCACTTTTGTAAATATTTTGGTACATAATCCTTCTTATATTTCTTAAATAATGTGCCAAGCAATTCATGATCCATATTTTTATTAACTGTGGAATTTCCATATGGATCAACAAATATTATTGAACGTGATTTTAATTCATTTCGTATCTTCTTTTCATTTTTCCATCGATCATCAAGATATTTAGCGATTTCAGCCATTTGATATTGAATTGATTGAACATGAAAAATTAAATCTTGATAAACAAATGAAGATGGATCTTTCGATATGATAGCAGTCGAGGCTGCTGTTGACTTATGTCGTTTACGTGGACTATCACTCATCCGTTGATTATTAAATATCGAAAACTAAGGGAATATTGATAAAATAAACGCGAATGTTAACGGTTACAACTTTCTGCAAACAATAATGATGGGATGTGATTTGTGAAGAATTTCGTCTATAAAATTTTTATTAATAATCGGAAGAATGTCTTTGAATGAATATTAATGAGATTCAATGCGACTTCTTAAGCTACTGTAAAAAACAAAGCCACTTTCCAGCAGAATCACTGACATCAAGATAAATTCATAGAGAAATAGTCTGTCATACGCTCTTTCATATGTGATAAAAACTTTTATTCGACACTTCTATTATTGCAAAAGTTTTGGAAAACTTTTCTTAGTCTTATTTGAAAAATGTGTTATTTTAAAAACTCATTTTTTCGTTTCTCTCAGAAAGGAGGTTCAACGCCGTATTGTCAGCAGAACTCTATCATGGTAAGAGATACAGTTAAATAGGCTTTTTTTGTATAAAGTTTGATTCTAAGACTAGCTCCTCCTCGTGGCCTTAAAAAAATTCTTTTTTATTTTTACTTAAGAAAACACTTCTAGAAAAAATGGGCGCTATATTTTTGGGCACATTAAGAATCATTCATCTCTTAAAGCAGTTTAGACAAACTTTCATTGCCTAGAAACTTGTGAAAACATAAAGTAAAATAACTCAAACAATAATATCGTAAATATGTACATAAAAATATGAGAAAAAGAAACACGCTACAATCGTTTTTATATTGTCTTATTGATGAGTAATGACTAAAGAAGAAAAACATTCATATTTTGTCACGCAGGTTGGAAAAATTTACTTCCCAACTAATTTTATCTTCTCCAAATAGGAAAAAACCCGATAAAAAGTTACAATGTCACGTTTTGAATTTTCATCAGTTAATTTTAACTTTTCACATTAAATGGAACAGTGATTTCACAATGGCAGCTGATATTTTGATTAATGTGATGCCAAGCCCAGCATTCATATAGTTGTTAGCACTGGGTATACAGTTTATTGAAAAGAAATGAAAAAGCATGTGTATTTATAGGATAGTGTCATATGCTAAACAATAACACAAAGAATGGTGATCATGCCAGACGTGTTGAACAATAGAAGAAAGAGTGATAGTCACATCAGACGTTGAGTAATAGTGTAAACAGCGATGATCACGCCAAATGTAGAAAAGTAGATAATTGAATAATAACATGATAGTTAAGTCTCGCCTCGATAACACCTCCCCCCTTTGAAGATGAACGTCCTCGTTCATTCATGAGGTAAAATCCAGCTATTTCCTCTTGTTTGGTTGAAACCAAAGTAAAGTTGCCGAAGTAAAATGAAGATCATGATTTAATCTTGTCGTGTAAAGAACGTAGGATATCTTGGGCCTGGATTCGCATATTCCGCAACTGGATTCGCTCACAGTTGGGACCAGAGGCTAAACTCTACGGACCAAAATAGAGCTCAACGAGTTCTATCCAATACACTATTAACTTTTCCTCCGAAACCATTCCAAGCGGGAGAAAAACCTAAATTACTGTAAAAAAAATTAGCAAAAAATCCTATCCTTTTCGTAAAGTGCACCACGATTCGCATCTAGTCGGGACCAAAACTTGAAAACCATACTGTAACGAAATATAGATATATATATAGTTTCGTTAATGACAAATGGAGAGGCACATTAATGTCTTTGATCTCATTGTGAGCATGATGTTTATTCGACAGTGCACTGCATCCAAATGTAACTATTACATATACAACATGAACTTGTATATGCGAGAGAAGAGAGAGAAGAGATAGTAACATAGAAGAGAGAGAAAGGAAAGAGGAAAGATATAAAAGAGTATTACGCAATATTTAATTAGCTAATAGTTGTTCTTTGAATGATGTTCATCTACATATGTAAATCATACTGTCCTAATCATCTAGAGACAGTATTTTGGTTAACATCTTATGACGTAATATCTATAAGTATGATTAGGAGAGATGGCACGTCTCTTCGCACATGAACAGAGATAGAGGAACATTAGAGAAAGAACACATAGGCGACAGCAGAATATATAATTTACGAACGAACAATGATACAGAGTTAGAACTGCATTACGACAGAAAGAGAACACGGTTCCATCGTGTATAGACAAACGTAAGAGTAACACGATTGTGAACACTACGTATCATTGATTGGACAAGAACACACTGAAAAAGTAAAGATATCATATAATACAATATGCCTAACGGCACACATACAAACAG